AGACACCCTTCGAACCTGGAACTGAAGCCACTCCAGAAGGTCACCTTTCATCCAAATAACAGACTGGTGAATAAAATAAACAGTATCACCCGTGAATTACTGTGCTCCCTGGAATAATCAACTTTATGAGATGAAACAGTCAACGGTTTACCCTAAAACAAAGACGAGAAGCTAAGAAAGGGCAGGGAAGCCAGATTAATGGAAACAGAACAAAAAGAATGGAAAATGAGAATGTTGACACATTGTAAAAAATCTAACCAATGTCATGGAATAAGTTGTATAAAAAATGTTAAGTGGAACCTAATTTGCTATGCAAACTTTCACCTAAAACACCATAAAATATTTTTTAAAAAAACTATCAATATTGGTTCATCAACTGTAACAAAAGTACCACAAGAAAGCAGAGTGTTAATAGGTGAAAAACACACGGGAGAGAGAAGGTACATAGCAACGCTTTATACTTGCTGCACAATTTTTCTGTAAACCGGAAACTGTTCTAAAAAACCAAGTCTATAAAAAAAAAGTCTGCAGCAAAAATACAGTAGGAAGGCGGTCTCCTCGCCAGGATGGGCAGGTGGGAGACTGAGGATGGGGATTTAGGAGCTGCAGTTATGATTCAATGTTTCCTTCTTTTTCTTTGCAACTGTTTTTGCTACATTAAAAACAAACAAACAAACAAAAAAAAACAGTTGCCACTGAGAAGACTCTGACTCATAGGGACGCCATGTGTGTCAGAGTAGAAGAACTATGCTCCACAGGGTTTTCAATGGCTGATTTTTTGGAAGTAGATCACCAAGTCTTCTTCCAAGGCACCTCTGGGTGGACTCACACCTCCAACCTTTTGGTTAGTAGCTGAACGTGCTCACTGTTAGCTTAATGGGCCCTGGACCCAAGGCAAATGGCAGCCTGGTCTGAGTTAACTTGTGAGCTGAGTTGGACAGGTCTGGGGGAGATCGCTTCCAGGAGTTGGAATCTCCACATCCCAGCCCTCCTTTGTTCGCTGAATCCTCTCACGACTCCAGGAAGCGGTCACAGATGAGGAAACAGAGGTATAGGCAGGTTAAATAACAGGCTAGAGGTCGCAGCGACTAACCAGCAAATCCCAGATTCAAGCTGGGTGGCTATGACACCAAAGCCCCTACCACAGACCTTTGTTCCTACAAGTTTGATCCATGGACCGACCAGCAGCATCGTCAGCATCATTTAGACACTGCTGGACATGCAGAATCCCAGGTTCCACCTCAGACCTACCGAACTGGAATTTTAACCTGATCCCTAGGTGATTCACACGCACATTAAAGTTTGAGAAGTGCTGCTTTAAACCACAATGCTAGACTGATCGAAACTCCTGGGGCCGCTCAGCACGAAAGAAGACAGAGTCTATTCATTAGAGGGATTTAGAGCAGGGAGCAGGCAGATCACAGGTAGAACACACTCCACTCAGACTTCCGACTATCAGCACCACAGCGCTGCCTCCTCTCAACTCCCCACCTCTGGCTACTCTCCCAGGGCTGTTCTGAGTTCAGCAACCTCATAACCAACAGGCATTTAACTCCTGGTACAGAATCTCTTAGGGAGGCAACGGGTGTGCCTCACCCCTTGCACCAAAGAACCAGTTGCCATCATGTCAAGTCCAACTCATGGTGACCCCTTGTGTGTCAGAGTAGGACTGTGCTCCACAAAGTGTTCAACGGCTGATTTTTCAGAAGCAGATTGCCAGGTCTTTCTTCTGAGCTGCCTCTGGTGGACTCAAACTTCCAACCTTTTGGTTAGCAGCCAAGCACGTTAACTGCCTGCACTACGCAGGGACTCCTTGCAACAAGTACCCCTTCTAAACTCAAGGCCCTCTGAACCTGACAGCCAGAGGCTGACGGTGCACTCTCTGCTCTCAGCCTCTGCAATCCTGTGCCAGCCTCGGGTTGGTTCACTTGTAGCCCTACAGGATGGAGTTAAAGAGGCCAGAGTCAAAAGGGCCACCACTCTGAAGGACAGGGCAGCAGAAGAGAGGAGAGGAATAGTGACTGAAGGGCACCAATGGCCTCCTCTCCTGCCACAAGCCAGGTCACGATCCATGACAACCCTGCCTCTGCCCACTGGACCCATCTCCTGGAGCCCTCATTCCCACCAGAAGCCAGAGAGCCCAGCCAGTCAGCTCTCCCAGGTCACAGTCCTGACTCACCCTTCCCTCTCCCTGCCCTTGACCCTGGGGCAGGGCCCCAGCCCAGCATCCCTCAGGATCCAGGAGTGGTGCTGCAGGCAGCACAGTTCTACACCATCAGATTCTGACAGAGTGATCATCCCTTGTACGGCCATTCCTGAGTCTTGCTGCCTTCCTAACAGAGCCGGACGCTGGGACAGACCGGTCCTCTGCGTGTCTTTATTCTGGGCTAGAGCAGGTGGTAAAAGGAAAGGGCTACCAAACCAAATGGAGTCCCTGGGTGGTACAAATGGTTAATAGCCTGGCTATTAACCAAAAGGTTGGAGGTTCGAGTCCACCCAGAGGCACTCTGGAAGAAACGCTGGTGATCTACCTCCGGGAAAAAAAAAAAAAAAATCAGCCATTGAAAACGCTATGGAGCACAATTCTGCTCTGACACACATGGGGTTGCCGTAAGTCAGAACTGACCTGACTCGAAATGGTTTTACCAGACCAAACAAAATACAGTCTAAGAGGTCCAAAAGTATATATTTAATTTCTAGAAATGCATAAAAACAAGGCTAGCGCTTTTTCTAGCCAGATTCCCATTTTTGCCCTTCCTGTTTGTTTCTCAGTTGTCTTCATCACACCCTAACCCCTTCACGGTCGAGCACGTCTCAGGTGATGTAGACACGGCTCTGCCTCCTGCATCTTCTGTCCCTTGTTCTCCTCTGTGTGTGAGGATGGTCATCACTGCTGGGGAAGTTGATCAAAAGGAGCAAAAAAGAAAGGAAGTCACTGTCCTCAGACCCTGAGATCCAGGACTGGAACACCAACGTGGGCTTGCCTGTGTGCTTGTGGATGGCTTTAGTCACGCACATGCTTTTTCTTCCTGTTCTGGAACTTCTAGGTCAGAGGTCATAAAACTCACAAAGCCTCCAGGGCCAGGCAGGTAATGCAACCGTGAGGTAACAGGAAGTGGTGGGGACAGTGGCCAATGGGTGAAGGGGGCAGCCACTGCTCAGCTCCAGCTGATTCTTGCCATGCACAGGTGTAGGCTCAGCAGAACCCACCCTTCTGATTTGAAAGGCCAGGAAATAAAAAATTTTAGAATGTGAAATCTCCTTGTTTTTAAATATTGGCAAATAATAAAAATATTTTTAGACCATGGAGCCAGCCAAATAAAGCATGCCTGGATTTGTGACTGCTGCCAAGGTGGTGCAAACGGCTTGTGCTTAGCTTCTAACCTAAAGGTTGATGATTCCAATCACCCTTTGCGCCACGGTGCCACGAAAGAAAGGCATGGCAATTTGTTTCCATAAAGATCACAGCCAAGAAAACCCTATGGAGCAGTTCTACTCTGTAAAACATGGGGTCACTATGAGTCGGAATCGATTCGACGGCAACGGGTTTGGGTATTTTTGTTTTTTTTTTGGTTCTATACTCTGTCCTATAGGGTCGCTACAAGTTGGAATCGACTCGATGGCAACGGGTTTTTTTTTTTTTTTTCGGTTCTTTATAAGTGTTCTTCTCTGCTGTGCCGCACCAACCAATAGGCAACACATTGGTCCCCACTGTGCTGTTTCTGGTGAGGGTCTGACCTCAGAGACCACCCACGAGCTCCAGTCATTCCGTGACCAGGACCCAGAGGTTGAAATGTGCTGCCTCCATGGGACGCACTGCACCAGGCAGAGCCAAGCTCTGCCTCATCAATCTGCTTCAGGTGAAATCCAAGCTGCTGATTTCCATCTATAAAGCCCTGCATGTTCAAGTTCTGGTTACCTCAAAACTGTTCCTCTCCCCTTGGGCTGGAGTACAACCTCGGCTCTTTCATGCAAGAGCTCAGGCAGAGCATTCCAGCCCAAGATCCGGGAAGCCAGAGGCCAGGTAATTTTGGAGGAAGCGTCAAGCTTTATTCAGCAAGTCGCCTCCCAGCCTTTGCCACCAACCAGGCAGTGCGGCCGGCCTCGGGGCCACCGTGGGGGACCCCGGATATTTAGGCCATGTATAAGCAGCAGAGAACACATGTTGTCCTTTGTGATGACTCAGGGCTTCAGGGAAAACCTAGGAGATGTGGCCTGCTCTGCCTATGTCAAGACCGGCGTTTCTGCTTAGACACTGCAGCCAGCCCAGTTTCTGTCCCTTCTTCTGCAAGGAGCACTAGATCGGGGCCAACTATTTTGCCAAACACTATTTCAGCTGAACAATGTAAAACTGAGCGGGAGTGGGTTGTGGCAGGCAAACCTCCTCAGGCTTTAGAACAACGAACAATGTGCTCTTGTCCCCCAGTCAGGGTGGGAGCAGGGAGAAATCCTCTTCATTTTGCTCCTTCCCCATCTGAGTGGCTCTGCCATCCCCTCTGCAGAGAAGCCAGGCGGGTGGGCAGCTGGCTTTCCTGGCTGTGGGGAGGGAGGACAAACAGGAGCACCATGGAAACCCCAGAGCGTGCGCGACACTGCAGCAGGAACAAAACTCTGTCAAGTCCAGAAACAAAATCCTGAGCCTTTCGTGACGGCCATGGACGGCCCCTGGTGAGGGAAGCTGGCAGGTTCCTAGCCCAGAGCCTCACACACCACAGGCCCTGGAAGTCAGCCCAAAGAAGGAAAGAGAAGAGGAAGAAAGAAACCTATTGTGATACCTCATACCCAAGGCCTGAGGTGGCACCGTGGGGATGAAGATACTCAGGTCTCTACACTAGAATGTTCTGTAGTTCTGAGCAAGACACAGCTGCTATCCTGTTTGGACAAAAAAAGACACCAGGCGAAGACCCACAGACAGAGGGGCTTCTACAGAAAAAGAAGCGGATCTCTGTTCTCTCCACCTCCTACAAAATACCCAAGAAGCTCCACGCAGGAACACTTACCAATATTTGGATGTTTCAAAAGTCGGCATATTCGGGCTTCACGTTCTAGTTTCTGGTGATCTAAAAGCAGAAGAGAGAAAACAAAAGTCATCAGCCATAAATTCTATTTGGGGTCACCTGGCCACTCATTCCTTCAATTCTTAGTCACCAACTACACACTTATATGTTTTGCCAAATTAATGCAACGTGTCACAGCAATCCTGCAAGACAGGTATTATGACTACCTCTTCCAGGTGAGAAAGTGACTTAGAAAAGGCAAGCGCCTGAACCAGTGAGGGAGTGGCAGAGCTGAGATTTGAATCCAGGCCCATAACTCAAAACTCTGGTGTTCCTTCCACTACAACAGGGATTTCATTGGAGCAGGGTTTCCATTATCTCTTTCTTATTAGAAACACCAATAATAACTAACTTTTACTGATCACTTACTATGTGGCTTGGAAACCCTGGTGGTGCAATGGTTAAGAGCTATGGCTGCTAATCGAAAGGTCAGCAATTCAAATCAACCAGGCACTCCTTGAAAACCCTATGGGACAGTTCTACTCTGTCCTTTAGGGTCACTATGAGTCAGTATCGACTTGACAGCAACGGGTTTGGGTTGTTTTTTTTTTTTTTACTATGTGGCTAAGCGCTGTGCTAAGGACTTTGCACATATATCCTCTTATTTAATCCTCACAGCAACCGCAAAGCATAACAATGATGACAGTGACGAAGATGATAATGATGGTGATAAAAAGAATAAAAAACCCAGCTGCCGTTGAGTTGATTCTGACTCATGGTCATCCCGTGTGTGTCAGAGTAGAACTGTGCTCCATAGGGTTTTCAATAACCGATTTTTTTTTTTTTTTGGAAGCAGATTTCCAGGACTTTCTTCCCCGGTGTCTCTGGGTGGACTTGAACCTCTAACCTTTCTGTTAGCAGGCAAGCCCGTTAACCATTCGCACCACCCAGGAACTCCAAATAATAATAGCTAAAATTTATTGAGTGCTTGCTTTGACACCAGGTAGACACATCTTTTAGTTTATCATCATTACAAACCTATGGGGTATGTACTATTATTATGTCCGTTTTACAGAGAAAGAAACTGTGACACTAACCCTGTTTCTCCCCAGGATTTTCTTGGTCATCTGCTGCTGGGAGCTCTGACCTCCGGCCACACAGCAGGCTCGGGGGTTATTCTGCATTGGTGAAATGACCAGGGCCCCACAGCCAAGTGAGCTGCACGGCCAATTCTTTCCAGAGCTCCAGGAAGTACAGAGAGAGGGTGCTACTCAAACAAAGAGGCCTAGAATCACCCCCCACCCCCCGCCAGCTCCTCTTTCTTTACTTGCTGGAATCCCACCAAAAGCCCCTTCTTTAGAATGTCTCCCCTTTCCTCTCAGCAGACTATGGCATCTCCCTCCTACGCCCCCGCCCAGTCTCCCACTGCCTGATTCTCACACTACACGTTACAGCATAGTTATCTTTTGGTCACAGGTTCTTCAACAGAGATCCTTTCTGAGCAGTGCTTTGTAGAGTTCCTCCTGCAAATGGGGGGTTAGTCTTTTCCTCAGTAATAGAAGTAGTAATAACTATCATTTACTGAGCATTTACTACATGCCAAGCAGAGGTATGGATACTTCATTTCATCCTCACAGAAACCCTGTGAAGGAGAAGCTCTGATTAGCCCCCATTACATTACAAATGAGGGAACTGAGGCTTAAAACAAAAGCCACCCATCCAAGGTCACAGCACTGGGTGGTAGATACAGGTGGTCTGAGTCTAGAGGCCTCCACGACTACGCTATGATGACTGGGGAAAGAAAAATTAGAATGGCTCCAGGCTTTCGGGGCAGAGCCCAGTTCACCCCAACTTCTCACAGGCCCAAGCAGATGCCTTCACGTCCAAACCTGCCAAGTGGTTTCTGTTTCCGTGGAAGGGGCTTCTCCCCACCCCACCCCTCAACAGTAATGAGCCTCTGTAAACCCTCCCATGCCCCTCTCAACCCTCACAACAATCCTACAAGGCAGCTACTGTGATTGTCCCATTTTACAGATACTGAAACTGAGGTCCAGAGAAGTTAAGTAACTTGCCCAAGTTTGCAAAGCGGCAGGAAAGGGATAGGACTGTCAGTCTGAAGTAATGTAAGGACTACAGATTAAAAGGAATTCATATTTATTGTTTCACCAACTACCTCTGGCTTTGTCCCAGACTTTCCTCCAGTGACAGCTCTGCTTTGTGGAGGAAGGAGGTGGGGACAGGCAGAGATTAGTTCTTGCTACCCAGCTAATCCACCCCAGCTGCCCCAGGATCTGGGTCAGGCCTTCCTTCCCACCCTCGGCTATGGCATGACCACTGAGCAGCCCTGCTCCTCCCAGGAAGCAGAGCAGCCAGGAGGACCCCAGGTAGCCCCCACTCGCACGTCGCCTGGGACCCCTCAGTGCCAGAACCTTCGGAAGCTGGGCAGTCGAGGAGGCAGCGCTGGCACTGCCTGGTGGCTGAAGGGCTTGCTTCTTCTAGATCTGGCCTGGAACGTGTTAGGCTGCCCCACCCCCCCTCGACCCCTGAACTTGGAATGTAGGTACCAAACTAGTCAGCCCCAAAGCTGCAGACCCACGTGCCCTCTCCCTGACCCCTCACCTCACCACCCTCCACCCTGGAGCTCTCAGGCCTGGTTGCCGGGCAGGTGCGGGGAGAACAGCCTCTTGCGATGCAGAGGTGGCAGCTGAGGGGAAGGCCCAGAAGATTAATGTTTATCTCCTCCCTTAAAGCTCTTACTGGCTAATGGTTACAGCCCACAACAGCAACAGCACTAAAAATAAGGGCACTCTGGTTTATCAGTGACTCAGAGTGGGGAGAGGGGACACACACACTCATGCTCCCAGCTCCTCGAAGGACCTGCTCAGGTCCAGAGGGCCCTCATCAGCCACTGGCTTTAACCTGAGCCCCAACGAGCAGAGCCCCCCGTTCTGGGCACGGCCCCTGGGCTGCGCCTCAGTCTTTACTCTGACTCCAATCCGTGAAGCATGGCAACAGCACGTCGGTTTTGAAGTCAGACAGCCCTGGAGTAAGCCCCAGTGCTGCCACATCGGGCAAGTTATTAAACCCACCTGAGTCTCATTCATTCCTTCCTTCACCCAAAAAACATCTAGTGAGATCTATGCAACAGGCACAGTTCTAGGTACCGGGGACAAAGCAATGAACAAAACAGACACGGACCCCTGCCCTCATGGAGCTGATGTTCCAGTGTGGGGAGGGGATGGGGAAAGGGAAAATAGACGACAAGAAAACCTAGCAGTACGTCAGATGTTGTGCCCAGTGTTCTGCAGAAAGGTAAAGTGAGGAAGTTGGGAGAGTGTACATTTAAACAGGGTGGTCAGGGAAAGCCTCACAAAGGAGATGACATCAGAGAAAGACCCTGGAAAAGGTGATAGTGGGCCAGGCACACATCCTGGGGAAGAGCTTCCTCACTTCTAAAATGGAGCTTGCTCTGAGGATTAAGGGTGGTAATAGGTGTAAGAAGGTGCCCTGGTGGCACAATAGTTGAGCGCTCTGCTGATAACTGAAAGGTCAATGGTTTGAACCCACCAGCCACTCCATGGGAGAAAAGACCTGGTGATTTGCTTCTGTAAAGATTACGTCCTAGGAAACCCTACGGGGCAGTTGTACTCCGTCCTATAGGGCCACCATGAGAAATGACTCCATGGCACACAATGGGGGTTAGCACGCAGCACAGCAGGAGTCCCTGGGTGGTGTAAATGGTTATTGTGTTCAGCTGTTAACCCAAAGGTTGGAGGTTTGAGTCCACCCAGAGGTGCCTCTGAAGAAAGGCCTGGTATCTACTTCCAAAAAATCAGCCGCTGAAAACCCTACGGAGCCCAGTCTTACTCTGGCACCCATGAGTCGCTAAGAGCCGGAACTGATTTGATGCAATTGCATTTTTTTTTTTAAAAAAAAAACTTAGCCCAGTGTCTGGCACAGAATAAGAGCCTCCTTTCCAGGGATGAGGTGGAGAAGGCCGCCCAGGCTGGGCCTGTGGCCGTAGCTACTGCCAGACTCTCTGAGAGAGCAGGACCCACTTTTCTCCCAGCCTGGCTGGTTGGTTCACAATGGCACCAACTGGACCTTCCTCGACCCTGGGTTTTCCGTGAGGTTCTCCATCGCAGCCTTCCTTGGGGGAAGGGTGTTCCTCTGTTTGGTCTACAGCCTGCAGGTGAAGGTTAGCAACAGGGGAAGAGCGGCCGTTGCGGGGTCCCTCTTCTTCCTCGGGCCTTGCTGGTATGGCACCCTGCCATCCAGAAGCTCTCTGCTCAATGAGCCATGCAGTTTCTGCTACCACATCTTCCTGCCTCTTCCTACCACGCACGCACAGCCCGGCTGTCGCCCCAGCCACTCCAGCTGTTGTCTCCTGTCTCTTCCCCTACACTTCCTGCCCTGCAGTCACCTCCAGGGTTGGGAAGAAGCTGCACGCTCCACCCCAGCAGAAGCTACATTTCAGAAACCAGTCGTGGTCTGTCCTTCCCTACAGCAGGGGCTCTCCTGGCTGAACAGAGGTTCCTAGCCCCAAGAGGGACAAGGCTACTGCACGGGGCCTGGGCTACAGGTAGAGGTGTCCCAGGGTGATGACATGAAGGTGGCTGCCTCCCTTGAGACACCCCTCTTCCAGCGGCCATAAGCTCGCTCTTCCTAGGAACAGTTCAGACCTTCTAAGACCTCTTCCCATCTACCTTTCTACTGGTCTCATCCCCGCCCCCTACGGCCCAGCCCCCCCTTCCTGTCTGACAACCAGCCACTTCCCGCTTTTGCACAGGGCCACTTCCTGCCTGCCCGTGTGCTACTGCCATGGAGAGACCCACCCCTGCCGGCCTTCAGCCCAGCTCCAACCACAGGCCTCTGCGAGGTTTTCCACTCACCAGCAGCTGTAGCAATAGGAGCAGAAAACAGAAGCAGCTGTTATCAGGGACCCGCTCCAGCCCTTCGCTAACAGCCTGCCCAGGGCAGAGCGAGGCTCAGGAAAACAAGGATCCCTGGAAGCCTTGCCTCTCCCACCTTCCCCAGATGCTTCAAGACCTGCTTCAGGGTGC